TGCTCAGTGTGGTCTTGAACTCCTGGCCTCAAGCAATCTTCCTGCTTCGGCCTCCCAAAGTGCTAGGATTAGAGGCGTGAGCCAACCGTGGCTGGCCAAGTTCCTGTTTTTAAGTGTCTGTCTCTCTGTACTTATGTATTTTTCCCAAGTTATAATTTTCTTTGGTCTGTATAAGACTATAGATTCCTTTTCCATTATACATAATAGCTGCAAAAACAGATTGTTATGGCTCTCTTGTTCATATGAAAATAGATCAGATGATCCAAGTTTCGATACGAGAAATAGTGCATGTAACATTAAAAAATGGATCTTAAGGGCAGGGGCTGTGACTTCTACTAATTTAAAAGAGAGCCCACAGGGTTGGGCCTATGGTAGAAACTTAAGAAATACTTGAAAAACAAATTACTTTTCCACAAGGCAATTCTATTTTTCCACTGTCTAGAAGCATAATTTAAAATGTTGATGGGGCAGAAACCTTTGATATCAAGAGAGTTATAGGAATGACTATGTCTCCTGCCATTCTATAAATACTTCCCTCCTTTTTCATGGGTATTTATTATACAATATTCATTGACAAAACTAAGCATTATTATGTGGGTAAATACTACCAAATGGCATTCCTTGACCCAGCAACTACACCATAGTCATGTCGGGCTCCTTAGTTCCTGTTTCAATGGTTTTTACATAATGAACCAAAGAATGCTCCAAATGAATAATGTACCTTAGAAATTTAGCTCAAGGCTTACAGCGCCTCATTCTATCAAATATAATGTTGAAATCTGCAAAATTCACTTGTAAGACATTTCTATATTTAAATATTTCTGAGAATAATCACCGTAGGTGCTAAAAATCAGTTGCTATTCATAAAACATAAAGTGGGATCTTGAAAAGAGAATGAGAGGTTTATGTGGCAGAACACTAATTAGAACCAAGCTATGACATTTTGGTGAAGATTACCTCAGACTGTATGCCTGAAACAAATATGTAAGTAACCTTGAACACTGTTTACAAAAGATTATACAATAAGGTGATTTTATTTTATTTTCTGCTATGAGAATGTTCTCAATCAGGAAAATAGTCAATGCATGTTTTGTACATGGAATACATTCACTTTCAACTCAGTCTGTGGATAGGTCAAAAATCTATCCTTTAATAAATCCAACTACCTCCAAAGTACCAAATAAACAAATATTTCTAACAATTTTTAAAAACAGATTATAAATATTTAAGTTTTAGCTCTTGCTTAAAGAGATGGAAGAAGTAACATCCTGTGAATACGTGCAGGGGTACTTTAACCAAAGACTGGTCATCAAACATATGATGCTTATATGAAGAGTTGGGTGGTTTAAAGAAAAGATAACAATAATTTATGATTAGGCCGGGCGTGGTGGCTCACGCCTATAATCTTAGCACTCTGGGAGGCCGAGGTGGGTGGATCGCTCAATGTCAGGAGTT